ACGTCGCCTGAGGGGGGATATGATAACATTATACAAATATATTCGGGGCCAATACAAAACATTGTGTGGAAATCTATTCACAAACCGGACTTTACATAGGACACAAGCTCATGCGTTTAGACTGGAAGAAAGAAGATTTTGTCTAAGGCAAAAGAAAGGTTTTTTTACTGTAAGAACAATCCGGATGTGGAATTCTCTGCCTGAAGAAGTGGTTTTATCAGAGTCCATACAGATGTTCAAACAGCTACTAGATGCATACTTGCAAAAACAGAATATTCAAGGATATAATCTTTCAGTGTAGGGTAATAACTGCTTGATCCAAGGATAAATCTGACTGCCATTCTGGGGTCAAGAAGGAATGTTTTTTCTAGCTTATTGCAAAATTGTGCTTCAAACTGGGTTTTTTGCCTTCTTTTGGATCAACAGCAAAAAACAAATGTGAGGAAGGCTGAACTTGATGGACGCAAGTCTCTTTTCAGCTATGTAACTATCTAACTATGTAACTATGTATGTATAGACATGTCAACATGGTTATAGTTGTCAAAAAGAATTTCGAATACGTAACAGGACGTGTCGTGAGGGCTGTACTTTTTAGAAATTACGTTAGTACAAGTCCAAATTACCGGCAGATATTATAAGACCTGCTAGGTAACAATCAAATATAACATATAGAGATATCATTTATGCGGCTTCTATATATAGAACAGAAATAAAGTCAATACCTCTGACAAATTTAAAAGATGTCTTTAGCTGAACAAGGCATAAAAAAAAAAAAAAATATGGGAGAGAATCTACCAGGCATATCAGAGATAAAGGTACTGAGGAAGGAGATTTAGCCTATGGCTCAGCTGGGGTCTGTGCCAGGCCATAAAAGCACCCCAGCAGTGCGTGTTTTATAACACTTCTCAAGTTAATTCCTCCAGTTCTGGGTCACAGTGAGAACCTTCACAAAGTTTCCTTTGCACACAGGGTGACCAGGTCGGTACCCCAAGAGAGTCCCTCTGATGAGATCTCCTCTGTGGTTTGTGGACGACGTATTAGTTGAGGCTCTTTCAGGGCCACCGGCCCAGAATGCGGGGAACAGGTTGGAATGCCTTCTGGATTAGAGGATAAAGCTGCTTGGAGAGCCCATGTTTGGATAGCGCACCAGAACTGTGCACATATATCATCAAAAGCGGCATGGAAGGCCTCTCTCCAGCCCTGCAGTGAATCTGTGTTAATGTGCACACCTTCAAGACTTGAGTTTGTTCAGGAGCGAGGTTTGTATCAGGTGGTGTAGCAGTGGGGACACGCATAACCTCCACCGGTCAAAAAGGGGGGGCAGTCACGATCCAGCCAGTAAGTTCTCTGGTAAGACAGTGTTTACTGCAAAAAACCTGAAGGAAATGATTATACTCAGCAGAACAAATACAATACGCTGTAGTAACTCTTGTGACTATAGTCTCCCTTTAATAAATGTAATAACCTTTCGCATTCCTGCTGCTACAAAGATGAGCAGATATATTCTTTGTTTGACATCAGTGAGACGGGGCCATCCTGCAGGTCCTGTGAGCTTTGCAAATCATTCCCATTAGATACAATTGTATGTAGGGAGATGGACAAGGGAACTCAAAACAACATAACATGTAATGAAGATTGTTGCTTTTGTGCTTAGCGTTATCTTTTTATTAATCTCTACTTCACCATATATTTTAACTTTTCTATTTCTCTGACCTGATACCACTGACAGAACTACCGCGGTCGCAGGGGTCACAGCTGCGACCTAGCCCGTCACTCCAGGGGGCCAAGCCGCCCTGCAGACCCCTGCGACCGGGTGCCTGCCGCCATGTGTTGCGGCCCGGCCCGCACATTGTAACCGTCGGGGGCCCCATTGAAAGGGTCCATCAGGTGGCCCATGCTTTTAGGGCCACCTGATGGCAATGAATATCTATGGGGGCCACGGTCAGCGCTGCGGCGCTTTAACAGCACGACCGGGCCCCCTGTGATGATATCAGACGCTGGGAGGAAGTGACTGCCCCGGTCACTCTTGCCAGCTATCAAAGAGAGCTGCACGGGACGAAGGAGAGGGAGTCAGAGTGGGAACTCTGACTCCCATCAGCCTGAGCCACCACTGGACCCCAGGGAAAGTCACCCTCCTGCACCTAAAAGGTAGGAAACAGGAGAGTGACTTAAACATTTTGCATGTGTGTGTGTTAGTGTATGTGTGTCTGTATGTGTGTATGTATTTATGTCTCTGTATGTGTGTCTGTATGTATGTGTCTCTATATGTGTGTGCATTTGTGTCTGTATGTTTGTGTCTGTATGTATATGTGTGTGTGCCTCTGTATATGTGTGTGTGTGTGTGTGTCTATATGTGTGTCTGCATGTGTATCTGTTTGTCTGCATGTGTGTGTGGGGAACGGGGTGGATGTATGGGGGAGGGGATACGTAGACCTACGGGGAGAGGGAGTAAACATATGGGGGGGAGTCTGGGCACTTTTTGCACTGGGGCACCATGGTTCGTAGTTACGCCTCTACCTAATACCCTGCACTTGTAGACCTACAAAATGTAACTGTAACGGACCGTTTTGCCCACAAGAGGTTAAAAACCGTTTAGGCGATATTCCCCTTTCAGATGCACAGACAGCTACTGCAATCACCAATCTCCCGAACTGCAAACTACACGAATTCTCCAACTCCCGAGCAGGAAACTCACGAATACTGGAAACTGCTGAACAGGAAAACCCATACAAAAGGTTTACACTCCTGGCAGTCAGCATACAATTCAATTCCCCCAATAACGAGACGACACTTCGTTTGAGGGTTAAGCAGAATCTGGTTTACTGGGGCTAACTGCCCGGCTTTTATGCAGGTCTCCCACCTGGTCAGGGGAGGGCTGGCAGCCTTAGGCCTGGGGGGCAAAACCAGTCAAGTGGCCCATTGCACCACCAAATCAGTGCAATGGTGCCCACCTTTTCCTGGTTTTATAACGGATATTGATGTTATGCTAATCAGTAGCTCTTTGCCATACCCGCTCCTTCACGGCTCTGACTTTCAATGTTGTCAGAGCGCAGGCTGAGAATCTCTGAGCCTGTGCTCTGACTCACTAACTGAGCGCCGGAACCACGAGGGAGAGGATATAATCTGACTGCACCTACTGCTGGTGCGCACCAGTGGACCACCAGCGAATCGTTTAAATTGAATAGGCTGGTGTCCCCAACTTGTGAGCTGTGTTGTCCGCCGGGCGCCTCTGTTGTGATGGCACCCTGCGTGACCGCACAGCGTGCACACCCCAATGGCTGGCCCTGCTGACACACACTGATGTTACTACTTAGAAATCCCTCAATATTAATACAGACATCAGAGTAAACACCAATAAACTGTGGAAACAGAGCTGATCCCACCCAATTTTATAAAGATTTGCTTACTGGATTTGTTGTAAGATTAAATCATGCCTCCTCTCTCTCTCTCCCATGCGTTGCTCTGCAGGCTGGGAGGAAGTGAAGAGTAATCACAATCTCCCAGCACAGTGGCACCTGTGGCTGCATGGGGAACAGCTGTATTTGCCGCCCCCCCATGTGACATCACAATGCCCCACCTATATGAGCTGCCATACGAACTAACGCCAGTGCTGCCCACAGTGTGTGTTTACATTAAAAAGCCTGCAGGGACCGGCTATAGACACCAGAACCACTTCATTAAGCTCCGGTCGTTCTGGGGACTATAGTGTCCCTTTAATGTGAGGTAAATTATAGATTAGTGTCACTAATAATATAGTAGATTGCCTACTTACAACCAAATGAGGATGATGATGGGCTGCAGTTTGGCTCCACTGGTCTGGTGTAGAACAGGATCTCTGGAGGCTGTTTGCAACTGTGATCACAAAATTCAATGTTCTGGGAGAATTGGAAGCAGCTCCATTTTTGGGGGGCCCCTTACACAGCTCAAGGTCTGGGCTCCAGGGCCTGACGGTGAGTATGCCCACAAGGCCCACTTATAAGTCCACTTATATGTTCCACCCACCCATGAGTTCACTCACAGGGAGTGGAGTGTGTAGGGGATGTGTTATATGTTATTGCAGAGGATTTAATATGTGTGCTTATGGTATGTAGTGTATAGGGATACCATTTTGTTCAGATGATGCAGTGTGTTTGTGTGTAGTGGAAGCAGTGTGTATTTGTGTATAAGGGATGTATTGTGTGTTTCTGGTTGTGTGTAAAGGATGCATTGTGTGAATCTGTGTTTGTATGCATAAGGGATGCAAGATGTGTGTCTGTAAGTGTGTGCATTGAGTGTGTGTTAGTGATGCATTGTGTTTCTGTGTGTATGTAAGAAAAGCAGTGTGTGTGTAAGGGTTTGCATTGTGTTTTTCTGTGTATGTGTGCAAAGGATGCATTGTCTTTGTGTGTAAGGGTTGCATTGTGTATGTGTAATGGATGCATTGTGTGTTTCTCTATGTGTAAGGGAAGCATGTTGTGTTTCTGTATGTGTAGGCAGGGCCGGATTAACATAGGGGCTGATGGAGCTGCAGCTCCAGGCCCAGGCCCATGGAATAGGCCCATTGAGGTAAAAAAAATATATATATATTTTTTTATATATATATATTTTTTTTTTTTACACACTACTCTTAGGGATTCCACCTGGCTTTTATTTTATTGGGCCAGATTAACATAGGGGCTGATGGAGCTGCAGCTCCAGGGCCAGGCCCATGGAATAGGCCCATTGATGTAAAAAAAAATATATATATATTTTTTTTTTATATATATATATTTTTTTTACACACTACTCTTAGGGATTCCACCTGGCTTTTATTTTATTGGCACAGCCAGTATTTGAGGCTGCCTGGCTGGTGCCAATATTGTAGTGATACTGGCAATACAAATGCTGGTATTTTTCTCACTATTAACAAGAGATGACTATGCAATACCAGCACTGGCCAGTAGGGGTCGCTGTGTGTGGAGACATGCAGGGATAGGAAGTTCCAGCATATCCCTCCCTGCCTATCTATACTCACTGATCTGCAGGGATGCAGCTACAGAGAGTCCAGACAGCAACTCCCACCCTGCAGAGACAGCCTACAGCTCAGGGAAGTGAGGGATGGGGGAAAGGCTGCAAGGAGACATGGGGACACTGAGACACTAAGGGACACTGGGAGACATTATGGCAGACACTGAGACACTAAGGGACATTGGGAGACATTATGACAGACACTGAGACACTAAGGGACATTGGGATACATTATGGCAGACACTGAGACACTAAGGGACATTGGGAGACATTATGGCAGACACTAAGGGACATTGGGAGACATTATGACACAGACACATGGGGACAGTGTCTCCCAGTGTCCCCATGTCTCCCAGCCAGTGTCCCTGGTGTCTCAGTGCCCCCTAGTCTTCCAGTGACCCCTAGTCTCCCAGTGTCTCACTGTCCCCATGTCTCCTAGTGCCTCAAGTGTCTCAATGACCCATGTCTCCAAGCTAGTGTCCCTAGTGTCTGTGGCTGTGGTGTCTCAGTGTCCCCATGTCTCAATGTCCCCGTGTCCCCCAGCCAGTGTCTCTAGCAGGCCCGGACTGGCCATCGGGCACACCGGGCAAATGCCCGGTGGGCCGCGGTGGCCATGGGCCGAGGCCGGCAGGGGAGGTCCCAGGACATCCCCTGCCGGTCTATGCAGGGCCGGCACCAGGGCCGGACTGGGGAAAAAATTCGGCCCAGGCATTTTTTTATCACAGCGGCCCATTAAGAAGGGGGCGGGGCAGAGAGGGTGTGTTTTGTCATCACTCATGACAAACACGCGCCCTCTCAAAGTGAGCATGTTGGTTCAATGCTCTTCCAGGGCAGACCATGCACAGAGCTCTGCTGAAGAGCTCTAGCATGAGAAAAAAGCCCTGTATTTGTTCTGTGCAGTGCAGGCAAATTTAATAACATGCTTGCACTGTGTTTCCTTGCAACTTGTCTCTGGTGTCTCTATAAATGGATACCAGGAGACAAAAGGGCCAGGAAAGAGTATTGTGCATGTGTTTGGAGCCTGCTGTGGTATTGCGTGTGTGCAGAGTGAGCTGGTCGTGGTGTGGTATTGTGTAATAATGTCGGTTTTAGTAATGTTGTGTTTGTGGTGTAATGTAATGCATATGTGGCTAGGGGCTGTAGAGAATGTGTCTATAGGGGATGTAGCAAGTGTGTGTATACAGGCTATAGTGTGTGTGTGTCTGTGTGTGTGTGTGTATACAGGCTATAGTGTGTGTGTGTGTGTGTTCAGGGAATGTATGGGTTTGCTTACAAGGAATCTAGTGTGCGTATAGGGGATCCAGACTGTGTGTGTGTGTGTGTGTGTGAAGGACCCAGACTACGTATGGGAGATCTAGTGAGCGTGCGTATATAACGGATTCAGAGTGTATATAGGGATCTAGTGTGTGTGTAGATGATTCAGAGTTGGGTAGAGGATCTAGTGTGTGTCTGGAATGAAATGTGTTTAGGGGTGCTGTGTGTGTGTGTGTGAGGGGTGCTGTGTGTATGTATATATATATATATATATTATATAAATATGTTTGGAAGTATTGTGTATGTGTGTGATGCAGTGTATCGGGGGGTTGTGTGTGTATGTGAGGGGTGCAGTATGTGTGTGTGAGTGCTGTGTATGATGTGTGTGAGTGCTGTGTATGATGTGTGTGAGTGCTGAGTGTGATGTGTGTGAGTGCTGAGCGTAATAGTGCTGTGTATGATGTGTGTGAGTGCTGTGTATGATGTGTGTGAGTGCTGAGTGTGATGTGTGTGAGTGCTGTGTGTGAGTGTTGTGTATGATGTGTGTGAGTGCTGTGTATGATGTGTGTGAGTGCTGAGTGTAATAGTGCTGAGTGTGATGTGTGTGAGTGCTGTGTATAATGTGTGTGAGTGCTGAGTGTAATAGTGCTGTGTATGATGTGTGTGATGTGTGTGAGTGCTGAGTGTGCGAGTGCGGAGTATAAATGTTGTGTGTTGGGGGGTAAATAAACAAATAAAAACCTAAGTGGGAATAAATATACAAATAAAAAAAAAATAAGGGGGGTAAATAAACAAAAACACTAATCATGCATTATCTCCCCCTCCCTCCCCCCTTACCTTTAGCCTGGGAGGAGGAGGGGTCCGGCACGCTGGTGAGTGGGGGGGTGGGGTGGGGGACCAGCATTCACACACGATCCCTGGTGGTCCAATGGTGACTCTCGCGAGATCGGGGCGTTGCCATGGCAACGCTCCCGATCTCGCGAGAGGAACCCGGCGGAGCTGCAAAATAGAGCTCCGCCGGATCCTCTCCCTCTCTCCCCAGCCGCTGGTCTATTTAAATGGGCCGGTGAGGGAGAGCTTTGATCTCCCCACTGGCCCTCCATGGAAGACAGCAGGGCCGGCGCTCGGTTAGTGCCGGCCAGGCCCGGACTGGCCATCGGGCACACCGGGCAAAAGCCCGGTGGGCCGCGGTGGCCATGGGCCGAGGCCGGCAGGGGAGGTCCCAGGACATCCCCTGCCGGTCTATGCAGGGCCGGCACTAACCGAGCGCCGGCCCTGCTGTCTTCCATGGAGGGCCGGTGGGGAGATCAAAGCTCTCCCTCACCGGCCCATTTAAATAGACCAGCGGCTGGGGAGAGAGGGAGAGGATCCGGCGGAGCTCTATTTTGCAGCTCCGCCGGGTTCCTCTCGCGAGATCGGGAGCGTTGCCATGGCAACGCCCCGATCTTGCGAGAGTCACCATTGGACCACCAGGGATCGTGTGTGAATGCTGGTCCCCCACCCCCCCACTCACCAGTGTGCCGGACCCCTCCTCCTCCCAGGCTAAAGGTAAGGGGGGAGGGGGGGGAGATAATGCATGATTAGTGTTTTTGTTTATTTACCCCCCTTATTTTTTTTTTTATTTGTATATTTATTCCCACTTAGGTTTTTATTTGTTTATTTACCCCCAACACACAACATTTATACTCAGCACTCTCACACTCAGCACACTCAGCACTCACACACATCATACACAGCACTATTACACTCAGCACTCACACACATTATACACAGCACTCACACACATCACACTCAGCACTATTACACTCAGCACTCACACACATCATACACAGCACTCACACACATCATACACAACACTCACACACAGCACTCACACACATCACACTCAGCACTCACACACATCATACACAGCACTATTACGCTCAGCACTCACACACATCACACTCAGCACTCACACACATCACACTCAGCACTCACACACATCATACACAGCACTCACACACACATACTGCACCCCTCACATACACACACAACCCCCCGATACACTGCATCACACACATACACAATACTTCCAAACATATTTATAATATATATATATATATATACATACACACAGCACCCCTCACACACACACACACACACAGCACCCCTAAACACATTTCATTCCAGACACACACTAGATCCTCTACCCAACTCTGAATCATCTACATCCCCTATAGACACATTCTCTACAGCCCCTAGCCACATATGCATTACATTACACCACAAACACAACATTACTAAAACCGACATTATTACACAATACCACACCACGACCAGCTCACTCTGCACACACGCAATACCACAAGCAGGCTCCAAACACATGCACAATACTCTTTCCTGGCCCTTTTGTCTCCTGGTATCCATTTATAGAGACACCAGAGACAAGTTGTAAGGAAACACAGTGCAAGCATGTTATTAAATTTGCTTGCACTGTGCAGAACAAATACAGGGCTTTTTTCTCATGCTCCAGCTCTTCAGCAGAGCTCTGTGCATGGTCTGCCCTGGAAGAGCATTGAACCAACATGCTCACTTTGAGAGGGCGCGTGTTTGTCATGAGTGATGACAAAACACACCCTCTCTGCCCCGCCCCCTTCTTAATGGGCCGCTGTGATAAAAAAATGCCTGGGCCGAATTTTTTCCCCAGTCCGGCCCTGGTCTCTAGTGTCTGTGTCCCCATGTCTTCAAGTGTCCCCTATTTTCCCAGTGTCCCCATGTGTCCCAGCCAGTGTCCCCTAGTTTCCCAGTGTCAATGGTGTCTCTGTGTCCCTAGGTCTCCCCGTCTTCCTAGTGTCCTAGTGGCACATACATGGGGACATAGACACATGGGAATACTGGAGGACACATGGAGACATAGGGCATTGAGACACTGTGATACATAGGGACACTGTGATACATAGGGTCACTGGGAGACTTGGGGACACGACACTAGGGGACACTGGGAGACATGGGGCACTGAGACACTGATACATAGGAACGCTGAGACCTGGAGTAATCGACACATGGGGGCACTGGGAAACATGGGGGCACTGGGAGGAATCCATCTATACAGCATAATCAAACCAAGTAGTTTTTTGGTGATTTTACAGCATTTTCTCTTATGTCACTCCTTGTGATTTACATCATGTGATGTCACCCATACATATTTAATTATGCAAATTAGCAAGGCCGGTTTGTTTTTCCAAGAAAGGTGGCAACCCTAACTACTTTTCACATACCCTTACTTAAGTATGGAAACTTAAGAGGGATGTATGGGAACAAAACTTGTGTGGACTGGCTGACAATGAATATAGTTAAAGGGACACTATAGTCACCAGAACAACTACAGCTTATTGAATTTGTTCTGGTGAGTAGAATCATTACCTCAGGCTTTTTGCTGTAAACACTGTCTTTTCAGAGAAAATACAGTCTTTACATTACAGCCTAGTGATAACTTCACTGGCCACTCCTTGGATGGCTGTTAGAGATCCTTCCTGGGTCATGGCTGCCTAAAATGCATCCAAACATTCAGTGTCTCCTCTCTCTGCATGCAGACACTGCTTGTTTTTCTGAGTCTAACAGCATGCAGAGTTACAGCTTCAGGCTTGAATACAGTAAGATTTTTACTATATTTATGAAGGCATGAGGGGCCCAGGGGAGTTAGATGGTGGTGTTAACACTATAGGGTCAGGAATTCATGTTTGTGTTCCTGACCCTATAGTGATCCTTCAAGGTAATGCTGACTTTGGTCTCTCTAACACTGTGGCATGTTCCCTTTCTTCTACACTCACTACACACAGATTTTCTCTGTCCCAGACTATATACCAGGAGCGTCTGCCTGCTAGTAAGAAGGTAAGGAGACAAGTAGACCAGAGAGTGCTAGGGGACAGTGCTTTAGAAAGCATTGAGCGAGCGCATCATTAGATGCATTTATGCCAAGCTCAGGGTGCTGTCTGCATTGTATGCCCTTAGTTGGCCAGCTGCATGATTGGCAGGCAGCCTGACATGCATTCATGCCAGGCTGGCCTTCAAATTCTTTGGGCAGACATGTCCTCTTTTTGGGCATGTTCGCCCCTTTTGGCAGGTTACGTGATTTGTGTCAGTGGCACACCCTTTTACCGTGCCCATTGACTTCCTGCTTGTGTGGACACTGCTGTTCGGGGTTATGGATTTACTTGAAAGATGAAAACACAAGTTAGAGGGAGATTAGCATAGAGTATGTGTTTCTTATAGCTGCTGTTTTCTTTCTCTCCAGCACCATCTCCATCAGATACATGACGCTTGGGAGTGTTTTAGTGTTTTTGGTCGATATGATTCTTTAATTAAGCCTGTCATAATTGTCAGCACCAGGCCCACTGGGCTGTTAATCTGGCCCTGTGTGTAGGGATGCATTGTGTGTTTCTGTGTATGTATAGGGATACATTGTTTGTGTGTGTGTGTGTGTGTGTGCGTGTAGTGTGAAAGAGCTCCCTGTCTTGCCCCCTGTCTTATAGAGCTGTCCCTTCTAGCTCTCCCCTGCCCCTTAGTGGTCTCTCCTCTCCCCCACCCTCCCCTAGCGGTCTCTTCTCACACTCACCCACCCTCCCTGTGCTCATCTCATCCACCCTCCATGTGTTCTTCTCACCTCCCCCCTCCCTGTGTTCTTCTTACCCCCACTCCTCCCTGTGTCCTCCTCACCTCCCCCTCCCTGTGTTCTCCTCACCACCCACCCTCCCTGTGTTCTTCTCAGTCCCCCTTCTCCTCATCTCCCCTTCTCCTCACTCTTACTCTCTCCCCTCCTCCTTGTGTTCTTCTTACTCCCCCTTGTTCTTCTTACCCCCCGTTTTTCATATCCCCTTCTTCTTCTTACTCCCCCTCCTCCTCCTTCTGTTACTCCCCCCTCCTTCACTTACTCCCCATCTTCGCCACTCCCCCTTCCCTTCACTTACTCCCCCCATCTTCACTTACTCCCCATCTTCACTTACTCCCCTCCTTCATTTACACCCCATCTTCACTTACTCCCCCCCATCTTCACTTACTCCCCCCCTTCACTTACTCCCTGTAACACTTATTTTATTTGGAACTCAACTGCAGAATCTAATTGCAGTAACTGAAAGTTGACCTGCTTTATACGGATGTGAGGAGAGGTTACTGCCACTTTAATTACACATGTA